AGGTAGAGAGGGAGTAGTGAAATGACGTTCCTAATCTTGAGTCTGTGGCTTGCAAAGGGTATGGCTCCCAATAGTTCATGACACTCCATACCCTTCATGTTCTTCAGCACTGAAATGGCTCTTTTCACCTGAACTCCTGTTTTATCTGGCTATCTGTACCCCCCCTCTTCTTGCCATCCTTACTTGAAATAGGACATTGCCCTTGGAGATGCCCACAATTCCTTCTCTAGAGATAAAAGAAATTCATTAATTGCTGTTATACCACGTGTAGTATTTCTGTATGGAATGTGCCCATTAAAGTTTAATAATGTTAATTGCTCATTGACTTCTGTGTCTCAGTTCCTCACGACAACTAATGCCAAAACATTTCACAGCTCCCCCTGACAAGAACTACAGATGATAAAGCTCCTTAAGGAGTCCGTACAACTGGGTTGGTGAATAAACCAGAGAAGTAATGTGGTTTTTTTTTTTTTGCTTGATTTAAACAAAAACCACTAACTCGCTTCCTAAGAAAATACCCTATAACCAAACTAAAATTAAATAAAGAATTAGGAGATTCCTCTAGTCAAGTTACGCTTCTAAGAGTTCCATGGATCTCAGTAGACTTTGGATCAGGCCTGTGGTAAATATTTGCATTTGATAAGAATGGAAACTGATGTACTCCAGTTCCTCAGTACATAAATATACATAGTGTCTGACCAGTAGATAAAACAGATTAGACAAACGGGGGAAGATGTCCTCCTCAAGTCTTAGGAAAAAACACATCTATTTTCTGCCCAAGAACAGAAAGTTTCAAGGGGGACAAGTGCTTTGTTTCTTCCCACGTATTTGGGCTGCACCACACTTATTACACAGCACACATGTAATAACATTTACGAATAAAAAACAAGAAAAAAAAAGTAACTGGGAAAAGACAGGAAGTTTTCAACCCAAATATTTTACAGAACTCTTATTTCAAATACAAAGATTGGACCAACTATTCATCTGCACTTAAACTCTTTCGGAAACTCCTGCTGAGCCCCCTTCACAATACTAGAGTCTGACTGATACTGTAGAGATTTGTAACAAAACATTAACATCCTCCCGAATGAAGGAGGAAACGCAAACAAAAGCACTGGCACAAGTTACAAGAGTTAAAGAGCAACATGCAATAACTGCTATAGAAGATTGATTTCATACAAATGAGCAGATAATAAGAAAAGACCAGACGGTATTAAAGATACAATGACAAAGATCAACAGGACTAGAGCCATATAATATCCAGTGAAAAAAAAGAACCACAAAACTCAGGAACTTTGCCTAACACATAGGAGACATACAAAACAACGTGCATTCCTGAAGAGTGTAAAAGTCACATCCGATATCAGTTTGTCATCACCAGCCAAGAGGAACCCAGGAGACACAAAGAGGATTTGAGAGCCCTTGTCCTCCCTTGTCCTCCACGTGGCACACAGAGGATCCTGGGCAGACCACATGGACATACCTCTTGGTGCTTATGAGTTCACGGGCTTTAGCAAATCAAATTTGAGAATGAGTGCAAACAGGAAAAATCAGTTTCAGTTACATTGTGAAATTACACCTTCTCCTCCCACAAAGTCTCATATTCAATTGTTAAATTAATTTCTACAGTGCTAAGGCCAACAGAAAAGTACTGCCCTCAAGGCAGTATATGCCAGTTCCCTGACCCTCACAAAAGGAGAAGATGCACGTACGAACCAAATCAGTCCTGCGTTCATGCTCGTGGCACCAAAAAACTGCAGGACTAGAAGGGGAAAAAATTTGTTTTTCCTCAAGATGATCATTCTGTTCCCAGGTATGTGGGCAGAACAAGTAACAGTTTATATTTCCATCAAGCATTTGAAGAGCTTTTCTAAAACAATGCAGAAAGGGACCACTGAGATCATCTTCAGCTGGCAAGGAAGCATGCACACTGTAGAACTACCACTGACAAACCAGCACTCTTAAAGAACCTTCTTTATGGAACCACAGAATAAGATTACCTGCCATGGAAGTTCAGGTTTCCACCTCATTGCTTTGCATTAGCACCTTTCAAGCCTGCCTTCAGTAATTCAACTGCAGTCTTTCAGAGACCCATTAATGACCAACCGAACCAGAATTAACTGATGTTGATGGACGTCATCAGGCCTCTAGAAGCTGAGCTCATTGTAACAGCCGTTGGTACCCACCTGACAAAATAAGGCTGAATGAGAGTCTTTGCAACAGTAATTACATTTATGGAGAAAAGGACAAATAAAATATTTGTATTCATGTTCTAAAACATAAAAGGATTTTTACATCCATTTTTTCTTCATGCTAATTTTTTTGGCAAGAAAGTTCCAGCTCCTAATTACCTTGTCTGGCTTACCCTAGCTGGCTCCTGATTTAGCACAGTGATTAGGTAACAAACTGTAGCCTGAAAGGCAGAGAGGTTCATAATGAGAAATGGGTTAAGGCAGTAATACTCAGGCATAATTGACGTACTGAATCAGTACCTGAAAACCTGATTTAGAGAGCCAGAATCCCATCAGGCAGTTTTAAGATCATGGTAAGCTCTAACAGTCATATTTGAGTATTATAGTTTGTGTAGACACAGCATTTTTGCTCAGAAACTCCAAGGTTTTCTTGTTTACATTACATGCACACAACACAATTTTAGTTTTAAAATATTCCTACCCTTTTATACAGTTTTCTTCCCCTGTGCACCCTGAGTTCCTTCTCTTCCTTTTCCCCCTAAGGCTGCTCTTCCTCTACTACTCCTTCTTTGTTCTTCTCCCTTCTACTCTAAACAGCACCACTGTTGTCCCACCACAGTTACTAGCTGCTTATAGAACACAGGGAGACAGATGCCTCAGCAATTTTGCGTGTAGGTGTTCTAAATTACTGTTAAATGCAGAAGCCTCCCTATCTACGGAACTTTAAATTATCCATAACTGTGCTGACTTTGATTACTATTAAACCATGAGTCCATATTTACAACATCTGATAAAACTCACTCCCAATTATCACTCCATTCAACTCCCATTTTTGACTACTTTTAACATCCCTAGCTGTGTTATCACACATACAAACAAGCAAAAATAAATATCATCAAATAAACAACACATTTCACACTTCAACCTCTCTCAGATTCTTTACAAAGAGAATGTTAAGTCCTCAAGTGCAGAACTGTCAAATTACAATAAACTAATTTACAGACTTTTGTCCGAAAACAGATTTGCGTCTAGATGACTCCTTGCTTTTTCTGCACAATCTGCAACTTGTCCTTTGTGCTGTGCAGTTACATAAGTCATAGGAGAAAGCATATACCTTCTGTCTCCTAACAGGAATCAACAGAACATATTTTAGAATCAACTTCAGTGACTATAAGATGGTGCTTAAAAGCAGGTAGCAGGAGTACTTGTGTGAGAAAAGCCAAGGTGTTAAACCATTCCTAGCAAGCAGTCAAGAGAAGATACTTGGCCAAAATCAAAATTGGCTTTTAAACAGAACTTGTACTTGTTTTTTTTTTTTTAAATAGTCCCAAGTAGCACAGTTTTAAGTGCAGAATGAAGTTAGCCCAGCTCACAAGCATCCCACATCAAGGTTTTGATTTCATGAAACGCGATCATAAAGGAAAGCTGCTCCCCTCCCCTTGTTCCCCCCCTAAAATGGATTTCTCCAAGACCTACTACTCACCTGATTTGGGGTTTCTGCCCGAGTCCACTTTCAAAGCAGAGACATGTGTTAAAACACATAAAACGTAACGCAAGAGTCTTATGTGCTGATAGCTGAGCTAACGCCACAGCCTAAATACAGCCTCAGGACTTCCAGAAGGCCCAATTAATCATAACGAAGCAAAATGACCCTGAGCTAGGTCTATAACCTTGCTTCCATCAGAAGCAACACCCGCACGGCCTTCTTGATATAACCCCGATACGTGCGTGTAGGTTTGCGTGTGTATATACATATACACACACATAACCCTTCAGTTTCTGTTCAAACATCTTTATAACCCAGCTGGTAACACCATATAACACCATGTAAGATGACACCAAGGCTTTAACCTTTCTCAGGGAAACCACCAAGCGGAGACACCAACCCATCCTGTGTCAGGGGCACCTCGGCAGCCCCCATCCACTCGGGGCAGCAACTGGAAGGCAGCTTCACCAAACACCACGCATCTCCTCTCCCTGTAACCCTCTCCCAGAGAGGGGAACGCACCTCATGAGGAAACAAGGGCTCCGCAGGGAGCTAAAGGGCCGGGAGCTAGGTAGGGCCGGGAGCCGGGGCAAGGCGACAACATGTCGCACACAAGCAGTGTGCCCTTGTGGCCAAGAAGGCCAATGGGATCCTAGGGTGCATTAGGCAGAGTGTTGCCAGCAGGTCGAGGGAGGTGATCCTGCCCCTCTATTCAGCCCTGGTGAGGCCTCACCTGGAGTACTGTGTCCAGTTCTGGGCTCCCCAGTACAAGAGAGACATGGCACTCCTGGAGAGAGTCCAGCGGAGGGCTACCAAGATGATTAGAGGGCTGGAGCACCTCTCCTAGGAAGAAAGACTGCAAGAGCTGGGCCTGTTCAGCCTGGAGAAGAGAAGATTGAGAGGGGATCTCATCAACGTGTACAAGTATCTGAAGGGGGAGTGTCAAGAGGAGGACCCCAGCCTCTTCTCCGTGGTGCCCAGCAACAGAACAAGAGGC